ACTCGGGACCGATTGGATCAACCTCCAGGACGCTATCCACTAGACCACCGAGCCACGGTAGTCACTTCTTGTGCGACGAGTACACTTTTAGTGTTATTATAACAGTCTTGTTATAAAGGTTTCAATACAAGCAGGGACAATAAAACTATACGCATCGCACAAGAAGCTGTCACCATGGTTCACTGGTCTTGTGTGTAAAGTTCTGGCATATGAAACGAAATGTCACGTGTTCGAATCCCAGTGGGAACATAAACAATCACTGGGAGGTAGGTACAAATCGTCAATGAATCCCAAAAAGGACGAAATGTGCACCCTGGTTGGCACTGCTAGCCAATTTCCGTCATGAGAATTTATCATTTTCCCCTTGGGTTCCTAGTGAAAGATAGGGATTCAGTAGCATGTCTCCATTTCACTCTCTTCTCTACAGTCTTCAAAACATGACTCCAACACTGACCACAAGCTTTCATTTCTTCCTCACACCATCTCCTCCATGTCACCATCAACTCCGATACCCAAATCATCGTGTCCTCCTCGAATTCCATCCGACGACCTTGCCTGGCATGAGCATGATGTCCCCACTCGAACTTCTCAGTGTATGTCCAATTCAATCCATCTACACCTTCTCCTGCATATTTGTTTGGTGATAGGTTCCTCATTGGTTTGGTGCCAGCCAGCCAGCCAGAGTGAGTTCCTTGTTACTCATTCTTATTACTCTAGCAATTTGAACCTCAGCACCAAGCTTAGGCAGCTATTGATGAATGACTATAATTTTACCGACTGGTTAGTTTTCGCCTGTAGATCTTCTTGTTTGTGCGACATAAGAAATTAGACGCAAATCATCATCGGTGACGAAATCCGAGTCTTCTAGTCTATTTTCATCGGTTAAGCCAGCATATAACCATCTTCTGCCTACTAACAGATTTTTGCATGATCCAGTCCAGTTCAGTTGACCGCAATCAGGAAGATCATTGGTGTTAATAGGTGACAGCCTTGCCTTACCCCTGTCTGTCTTCACTTCAAAGACATCATTAAGCTTTCCATTGTTAATCACCTGGCATGTAGCATCATTTGGCATGTAGTTGTTGAGTGAGGTTGATAAAGATTAGTGGCGCTCCGTAGTGTTGAAGCAACTGCCAAATTGCTTCTCGGTCGACGCTGTCGAATGCCTTCTCAAAATCGATGAAGTTGAGGTAGAGAGTTGACTGCCATTCCACACTCTCTTCTATGATGATGCGTAGCGAAGCGTTCCAATCCGATCCGCACATGATTTGTTATTCCTGAAGCCAGCCAGTCAGCCAATCAGCCACACAGCCAGCCAGCCAGCCTGTTCCGCTCGTAATTTGGAATCCAACATATCTTTTAGTCTCTCCAGGATGATGTGGCTTAATATTCTGCTTGCTTGAGGTGGACAGTGACAGGAGCAAGATTCTGCACCATTTCTTGCAATGACCAAAGTTCCCCTTCTTTGAAAGTGTGACAATGTAGCCGCTCTTCCAATCTTCGGGCAGGTATCTTTCCTTCCTTCCCTCCTAAACTTCTGCAATAGTGGTGTGGTGTGAGCATGTTCACTGCTGTCTACGTGGCTGTTTTCAGTGCTTCTGGAGGAGGACCATCCATTCCTCATCGCTCTCCAGGATTTCAGCAACTTTATGGCGTTCAAAATTTCACGTTCGCTTTTGTAGGAGTGCTTGTGCTAGTTCTGTGGTTGAGCTGCTGGTGGTATTTCTGGGTTAGATGCTGGAGCTGCTGCTGGTGCTGGTGCTGCTGCTCGTGCTGGTGGTGGTGGTCATCGTCGTCGATTGAAGAGTTATCTGAAGTGGTCAGTCCATGGTCTCCTTAGTTTCTCCTCTTCTCTAACTAGCTTTCCTCAACTATCTCTCATTGGTTTCATCTGTGTTGATGCCTTCCCTCCCAGAGAGGAACCTGGTTATTTGATACAGTGTTGTCAGGTCTCTATATCTCCTACCTACCTAGAGCCTGCAGCCTGTTCCACTTCACTTGCCAGTATGACGTGGAAGTGTCTTTTATCCTGCCACGCACTCTTCTTCACTTCTCTGTCCGGTGTAGTGTTTTGTAGGTTGTAACCACATCCTTGTTCATCCCTAAACTACACTGGTTCATATTTCGCTTCATCATCATCCTCTCGTCTATCAGCTTCGGTGTGTCTGTCAAAATCCATTCCTTCACATGTTTCTGCTTCCTTCCTAATACGGTTATGCAGGTTTCCTTCCAGTTCTCTTTCAGAGAGTCTCAGTGTTCATCCACACAGGTTCCCTCAGGGATGTTGCTCAACATCTACCATTTTGTCCTGATGACTGACTGACGTGAAGATGTCTTTTGCAGTTCCGTCCACCAGTTTCTATTCTGAGTAGGCATTGAACTTGAAATGTGGTCTATCACAAACTTCTGTGAAGACGTTCAACTTGATTTTGGAGGTAGCCTCCTTGCACTAGATAATCAGTGGTGTGAGTGGGATTAACCTACATCTGATCCCCTTCTTCTTCTTCTTCTTCTTGCTGTGTCCAGTAAGCTGCGTCTCCAATTACATCAGATTGTAATGAAGTCGATCTGATTTTTGGTATAGTGTGTCCTGGTGTCTGGTGAAATTAAATCCATGTCACTACCTTGTGAATATCCTTGTGTGTGTGCGTGTGTGTGTGTGTTTGTACACACTACCTCGAATCACCAAGTCATTGAGTGCGTAGAAGTCTGCGAACTGTAATCCATTGTCATTCATCATTTCACCGAGTGCTTCTCGACCCATGATAAGTCCTCTTCCCGTGTTGTCCGCTCCCAGTTTGGCATTCTTGTCACCCCACACATTAGAGTGGATTTGGATGTCACCAACTGGGGTGGAGTCTAGTCCAATACTGACTGCAGTTGTCTGTGGAATTCCTCCTTCTTCCCTTGATCCGCATTATTTGTAGGTGCATAGCGTGGCATAGCACAGCATAGCATTGTATGATTGTTACCTTTCTTCCTTTCGAGTTGAACCTTGCTGTCGTGATGCTGTAGGAGATTGGTTGTCACTGAATGGGAAAGAGCCTTTGATGCTGTTGGGTACATCATGATAGCCACTCGTGAACGCAGCGTGCTGTGCTCATGGTTGTCGTGTCGTCTGGGTGAGAATATCAGAGTAGATTATTGACTTCTCTCCAGTTCAGAGTTTGGAGATTTCACTTCCATTCCATCTACTTTCACAGATTCCAAGCACTTCCATGCAATATCCCCTCATCTCTTTCGAAATCTGGGTAGCCTTGCTCAGTTCATACATGGTGCGGACATTCTGTGTCCACAATCTTAATTTCGCTTTCATCGAGAGAGAGAAGACATATGGGCCGACTGGCTTCCCGAAGGCTTTCACCAACCAGCGTCATGTCGTCTCTCCGACGCCAGTGAGAAATAACTTTATTTTTATGTTTTATATTTTCTTTGTGTTTTGAGGTTTCTTTAGTTATTGGATTGTTTTTCTGGTGTAGGGTTGCTAGCTGTATACCCAACCTTCCCTCTTTATCCGTACTTAGGACTGGCTAGTAACTATTGGACTAGTTTTTCAGGCGAGTTTCTTCCTATTATTTCTATGGAAGTAATCATGATCGTAGAAACTGGAGTTTTTCAAAAATTTCTCTTGTCCCTGTTTTAGCTTGAACCAAACGTTTCACTCCCATTCAGTAGCTCTGAATCGTTAAGCACTACAACTACTTGCGAATCATCAAAGTAATAAAAATCTTTATAGTTCTGTGCACTTCAGTGATCTTAAACACATCAGATGATCTAGTTAATGTATCCCATTGGTTAGTGAGAATAAATGAAGTTTTATTTTGTTTGAAGATAAAGTTCATGAACTGACAGCAGGTAAATAATAAAGTGGACCAAGGGAACACTAGCCAACTGTTTTATCCAATCTTATGAATAGTCATCTAAGAATACTAACAGAATCTGTCTGTGTCTTCTATCCCAAGGTTTTACAATTTCAAGGCGAAATGATACTTTTAAACATCTGGACTGGAGTTCACTGTTGATGTTATTCTAAAGTTTATTTTTACTGATATGACACAATCATTCATCACTTTTATTATGAACTGCTTATCTGCCTATCTAAGGAACTCTGAGAACAAACCAACCAAGAGGCCATCACGCAACAAATATGCAGAAGAAAATGGAGATGAATTGAATTGGGCCTACACTGAGAAGACCATTCGGAGGCCTCACGCGCCAGGCCAGGCCCTGGAGTGAAATTTGAGGGGGAAATGATGAGTTGGGTATCGGAGTTGATGGTGACATGGAGGAGATGGTGTGAGGAAGAAATGAAAGCTTGTGGTCAGTGTTGGAGTCATGTTTTGAAGACTGTAGAGAAGAGAGTGAAATGGAGACATGCTACTGAATCTTTATGTTTCACTAGACACCCAAGGGACAAATGACAGTAATAATAATGAAATCTATCTATCTACTTTTATTGATCTGACACAATTATTCATCAGTTTTAATATGAATTGCTTATCTGTTCTCCGAAGTCAAATTTATGCACCAGAGTACTTCACTAAACAGAGTTTAGTAGTTTCTTTCAACCTGAAGGATTTCTTTCCTCAGCCTGTGATACCCACTTTCCATGTATGCTGAAATATATAACAAGCATAAAGTTATTCTATAGCACTCTACTGCAACTTAGAATAAAATAGAATATTTCTATTAGTTGATGTTTTTAATTGAGCTGGTTCGCTAAAGCTTTGTACTTCACTAGCAGCATGTGGCTAACAAAATTCAGAGACCAATAAAATAACACCAACGATGCAAACTGGATTTTAAACTCAAATGAACTGTCAGTAGGCAGTTCTCTAGCAGGAAAAAAGGAGTATTTTGTACTCAAATTCTAAGCACTGACAAAATAACGCTAAATTTAAAGTAATATGAAGATGGGATTGTAAACATTGAGATCATCAAGCTTACTTATTAGTATTATTTGAAAGATAAACATCAAATTAAGCATTAAATGACCATACCTTGTTCTGCAATTGATGCATATTACTTTATTGTCTTGATGAACCCAACATTTTTCATCTACAAATGATAATCGATCTCCGCATTCAAAACAATTCAGACAGTGAACATGATAAATTTCTGGTAGATTTAAATTTTTTAATCCTTTTCTATTTGACATTTCATCGATCTTAGAAGTATCAAAAACAACTGAAGATGATGAAGTGTTCATCTCCTTACACTGTCCACTTTTTAACTTCTTATTGTTGCTATCCATCACTTTGTCTTTTTTTACCAAAAGTATTAAAATTTTATCTCGAATTTGGTGACTGCAACCTTTACAAAGAATTTCATTTGTGCTTTGCATTTCTTTAAAGTTTCTCTTCTAAAGAACAAATAAACAATAACATTCGACAGCATAAAAAAGAATCGGCAGACGTAACTTGTGTTGTTTATAAATAATCAGGAGAAAATCTCATTTATTGACCTCAGATAGAGCAATATGCATGAAGCGCTTTGAAAGTATATCACTTTGTTAGTTAAACATATTTTCCGTAACCTTCAGATATATGCGAATATAACACAAAGTGCGCCCATATGTCAGTTCATTCAAATCATAGGCCATAGTATACATTATTTAGTCGACAGACTTCGTTTGTCAGATTAAGACAACATATACTTCGTGGGAGACTAATTATCCTCCTGAGCTACTTACAATTCTCAATATTAGTCAGCAAGAATTAAATGTCTCATAAGGGGTAGACTGCTTCTACTGGTTCCTTTTTTACAGTGAAATATCACTCAGCAGATAGCAGCATGGGTTACTGTCTAACACTTTGATGCCTAAGCAAAGATAAAATGATTGGCAAAATAGGATAATCTGAGGCGTGGTGGTATTATACAGGATATTGGTGGGTGCGATAAAACAATACGATGACTAATCAAACTATCATGAGCATAACTTGACTAAGGTTGTGGATTACAAATGGAATTTTATACTATTTCATTTTAAATGGCTTGATAAAGGATTTATTCAATTTATAATAAGTTTCATCTGAGGCTGCGAAACAAAAGTTGTTATACTTTGGATAAGAGATAAGTTTTATGACTTGGTCCCTGTTTGAATAGCACCCTGGGGCCTGAAGTGGTAGGGCATATATTTGAAACCGATGCGTTGTGTTCTTCTTAATGTATTCATTTATTACTTTTTATCAAATGTCGTATTCTAGTCTATGAAAGATAGGAAAGGTAGTCATTCAGTACAATCAAATGGCCAAGCCTACAGATTATCAAACGTTTACGAAATCTGGGTGATAGTTTTCGCTCATTTATTTAAATTTCATTGATCAAATACATCGACAAATAAGGAAGAACATTCAACGTAATGGAACACAGTGATTGCTGTCATATCGTTACTTTTTCGTCATAGACAGCGAATTAACATAAAAGAAACACTAAATCTGTATTTAATCAATGTACATAAGATAGATCTTGCACAAAGCTATGTAAGAGTACGTTGCAGATTGTCTGCAAATCGTCTCAATTGCATAGGGCAAGATTAACAGCTTTACCAGAATACTATGGATTAATATTTATTTCGGGATAAAAAGGGAAGGTTGGGCATACGACTAGCAACCCTACACCAGAAAAACAATCCAATAACTAAAGAAACCTCAAAACACAAAGAAAATATAAAACGTAAAAATAAAGTTATTTCTCACTGGCGTCGGAGAGACGACATGACGCTGGTTGGTGAAAGCCTTCGGGAAGCCAGTCGGCCCATATGTCTTCTCTCTCTCGATGAAAGCGAAATTAAGATTGTGGACACAGAATGTCCGCACTATGTATGAACTGAGCAAGGCTACCCAGATTTCGAAAGAGATGAGGGGATATTGCATGGAAGTGCTTGGAATCTGTGAAAGTAGATGGAATGGAAGTGAAAACTCCAAACTCTGAACTGGAGAGAAGTCAATAATCTACTCTGATATTCTCACCCAGACGACACGACAACCATGAGCACAGCACGCTGCGTTCACGAGTGGCTATCATGATGTACCCAACAGCATCAAAGGCTCTTTCCCATTCAGTGACAACCAATCTCCTACAGCATCACGACAGCAAGGTTCAACTCGAAAGGAAGAAAGGTAACAATCATACAATGCTATGCTGTGCTATGCCACGCTATGCACCTACAAATAATGCGGATCAAGGGAAGAAGGAGGAATTCCACAGACAACTGCAATCAGTATTGGACTAGACTCCACCCCAGTTGGTGACATCCAAATCCACTCTAATGTGTGCGGTGACAAGAATGCCAAACTGGGAGCGGACAACACGGGAAGAGGACTTATCATGGGTCGAGAAGCACTCGGTGAAATGATGAATGACAATGGATTACAGTTCGCAGACTTCTACGCACTCAATGACTTGGTGATTCGAGGTAGTGTGTACAAACAAACAAACGAACACACACACACACACACACAAGGATATTCACAAGGTAGTGACATGGATTTAATTTCACCAGACACCAGGACACACTATACCGAAAATCAGATCGACTTCATTACAATCTGATGTAATTGGAGACGCAGCTTACTGGACACAGCAAGAAGAAGAAGAAGAAGAAGGGGATCAGATGTAGGTTAATCCCACTCACACCACTGATTATCTAGTGCAAGGAGGCTACCTCCAAAATCAAGTTGAACGTCTTCACAGAAGTTTGTGATAGACCACATTTCAAGTTCAACGCCTACTCAGAATAGAAACTGGTGGACGGAACTGCAAAAGACATCTTCACGTCAGTCAGTCATCAGGACAAAATGGTAGATGTTGAGCAACATCCCTGAGGCAGCCTGTGTGGATGAACACTGAGACTCTCTGAAAGAGAAGTGGAAGGAAACCTGCATAAGCGTATTAGGAAGGAAGCAGAAACATGTGAAGGAATGGATTTTGACAGCCACACCAAAGCTGATAGACGAGAGGATGATGATGAAGCGAAATATGAACCAGTGTAGTTTAGGGATGAACAAGGATGTGATTACAACCTACAAAACACTACACCGGACAGAGAGGTGAAGAAGAGTGCGTGGCAGGATAAAAGACACTTCCACGTCATACTGGCAAGTGAAGTGGAACAGGCTGCAGGCTCTAGGTAGGTAGGAGATATAGAGACTTGACAACACTGTATCAGATGACCAGGTTACTCTCTGGGAGGGAAGGCATCAACACAGATGAGACCAATGAGAGATAGTTGAGGAAAGCTAGTTAGAGAAGAGGAGAAACTAAGGAGACCATGGACTGACCACTTCAGATAACTCTTCAATCGACGACGATGACCACCACCACTGGCTGGCTGGCTGGCTTCAGGAATAACAAGTTATATGCGGATCAGATTGGAACGCTTCGCTACGCATCATCATAGAACAGAGTGTAGAATGGCAGTCAACTCTCTACCTCAACTTCATCGATTTTGAGAAGGCCTTCGACAGCGTCGACCGAGAAGCAATTTGGCAGTTGCTTCAACACTACGGAGTGCCATTAATGTCTATCAACCTCAATCCACAACTACATGCCAAATGATGCTACATGCCGGGTGATTACCAATGGAAAGCTTGGTGATGTCTTTGAAGTGAAGACAGACAGGGGTAAGGCAAGGCTTTTGCAATGAATCTTAATCTTCTTGATTGTTTTGGACTGGATTTTGCAACTGACAGTGAGGAGTGAGTATCGGGTCATACGCTAGAATGATGAAAATAGACTAGAAGACTTGGATTTCGCCACCGATGATGATTTGTGTCTGATATCTTATGTCGCACAAACAAGAAGATCTACAGACGAAAACTAACCAGTAGGTAAAATTATAGTTATTCATCAATAGCTGCCTAAGCTTGGTGCTGAGGTTCAAACTGCTAGAGTAATAAGAATGAGTAACAAGGAACTCACTCTGGCTGGCTGGCTGGCACCAAACCAATGAGGAACCTACCACCAAACAAATATGCAGGAGAAGGTGTAGATGGATTGAATTGGACATACACTGAGAAGTTCGAGTGGGGACATCACGGTCATGTTAGGCAAGGTCCTCGGGTGGAATTCGAGGGGGAAACGATGATTTGGGTCTCGGAGTTGATGGTGACATGGAGGAGATGGTGTGAGGAAGAAATGAAAGCTTGTGGTCAGTGTTGGAGTCATGTTTTGAAGACTGTATAGAAGAGAGTGAAATGGAGACATGCTGCTGATGGATCTTGTCATGCTTTAAACAGCTACTTGAGGTCAAAGGTCATAATTTCTAGTAGGAGGTAGGAATAAGAGATGAGAGGATATAAATTGCTGAATGACTTGGGTCATCGCATGTCAGTGGTTTCTACTAGATGATTTTATCTACCGGATTTATGGCTATCTCTTTTGAGGCTAAGTTTATCTTTTGTTGGCCCGAAGCAATTCAGACAGCAGAATCACACGCTTCATACCAGCCAGACCTTTCTAGTCGACTTAAAATGAATCAGTCTGACATAACTGAAAAGCTTGTCTCAAAGCTTACGTCATTCGAATCTGGCTAAGGATATACGCAGATTACAATGACTGGCTTTTATTCAGTTTTATACAGAATGGAGATAAAAAATAATGCTTACTTGATTATCCTCAGACAACATCGTTAATGTCATTCAAGATGAAATTGTAAATAGCAACTGTATACACAGAATTGAGCTAATGAATTTGCCTTCCCGTTGAATATAGAAGTAAACAGCAAAACTCCCTCTTTTATACGTGATACTAAAATCTTTAAGTGAACGATTTCTTTCTCTTCTACTCATGATTTCATGAACCAATAAGCCAAAAGCGAACTTCTTTTTGTCTACAGACATTTTTCCAATAACTCTGCAATAAGACGGTTAACATATTCTTCAAACACTTATACCAACACATATTCACACACATACGTATCCATTCAGGAAAAAAGAAATAAAGCTCATAGTCTAATTTTTGCCTACAGATGAGTAGAGATGGAGCAAAACACTGATTTGTAGAAAATTGTTTTCCGTTTTGTGAACCAAAGAAGAATAGGCTGATAGTCTAAAAAAAAATAGGCTGAGAGACTTTCTTTTCTGTGTTTCCTCTTCTTATATATCATCCCTTTGTTTTCATTCCGCTCTTATTTTTGTTTATAGATTCACTTAGACTTGGTTGGTTGCTTTAATAGAAATTCTGTCTGTCTTTTTACCCCTGTATATATAAAGCTACAACAGAAATGAACTAAGGCATTCTGTGTTATGATCACTAAGTATCCTCTTCCATAAAGCATTTCTCACATCTATATTTGTCTGTAAATCATTTACTACTGTTGTTTAGCTTTCCTCACTAGACTGAGAATAAAATTTTATTCTCCTAGTTGTAACTATCCATTCAAGAAAAACAAACTAAATGGGGAGAAATTGAAGTGGATGGTGTTTTTGGGGATACTTTGTTCCATCTTACTTTAACCAAATAGAAGCTAGTTCTCAATTCAAAAAAAAGATGAGTGGGCTCCTCTCTGTATACATATGTGTATATATGTGGGTATCTACTAATATGGGAAGAGATGAAACAAAAAAGGGAATGAAAACAAAGCAATAAATAGCAAAGGAGAGAAAAACTTTCTCTTTCCTATTCATCTTTCATAAAACAAACAAAATGGATTTAAAGGTGTGTTTGGTAGGTGTGACAATCTTTATAGGAATAACATTCATTCAACATAGATTTTATAAAGTATTCTTCTGAAACCTGCACATCATTTTAACAATAACAGTGTTATCCAGTAGGTACAAAACTTCAAGCTGGTTAGCTATCTTGTCCCTTTGAATTTCAGTTAGGATTCTAACTGATTTTGTAATTTCCATCACACACACTATTCTAAGACGAATGAATAAAACATTACCTGATAAATTTGAAAACATCTCTTCATTAAAAGTCACTATGATCAAATACTTTTAAACTACACCAAACATGACTTTTTCGATGCTGAAAGTTTTTAGCTTCCTGGATGAACCACACTGGAAGCAGTTTCAACCGAAGACAATTTTATCGTATATTCGATGACTATTTAATGTAAACTAAGTTAGTTGATGTCGAACATTTTACCTTATAACACTAAGAAGTTAAGTAGACTTTTTGAAACGTAAGACACTTCCGATTAGTGAATTTTGAGGGGTTTGTGGGGATTTAGAGATACTTCAAGTTGGCATTCACCTCAGACTGACATCAGTTAGAGGAACAGTGGAGACATGCAGGCACTGGACAGCTGTTTCGTCCCAGCATGAGATTCTTCAGCAGCGAGCATCCATGACCCCACTGGGGATCGAACTCACAACCTTCAGGTTCCGTGGCCAGCATGTTACCATTGGGCCAGTGGGTCGGAATCCAGTGGTCTATATTTCCAACTTCTGTTAGTTCACGACATAGCATGACCGCCACCCAATGTTATTGTTGAGTATTTATCCTCACGGCCATCAGGTTTGTCCACTGGTCACGATTTCTCACTGGAACTTCGGGAATCACCTCCCGAATCTAGTTACCAATGAGCACCAGCTCAGTTGAATTTTGAGGGGTTTGTCGCGCTATGTCGTGAACTAACAGAATTTGGAAATATGGACCATTGGATTCTGACCCAGCGGCCCAGTGGTAGCGTGCTGACCACAGAGCTCGAAGGTTGTGGGTTCGATCCCCGGCGGGGTCATGGATGCTCGCTGCTGAAGAATCTCATACTGGAAAGAAATAGCTGTCCAGTGCTTTCAGGTCTCCATTGTTTCTCTAACTGATGTCAGTCTGAGATGCATACCAACTTGCAATACTTCCGATTATGACAAAAGATTCAATACTTTCTTCTTGCACAAGTTAAATGGATTTCTAGTAGAAGTCATCCTTGACGAAACCTCATTGTATCGTTTAGTTATTTTGGTTGTCACCAATTTTTGATTCAATGTATACTCCCAATACAACCTCCATCTTATTTTCGATTACGGTAGCTTAAAATTAATATGCCCTAAGGCTCATAGAGTTAGTCACTAAAATTAAATTTGCCTGTTCTATTTACAACTCGAAATCTCCTTCTGCCTTATTTTCTTTCCATTTGTTTTTTAAAATGAAGTTTTCTGCACTGTGGGTCAAAAATTTACATATCGACTACAAAAAAAAACGCTTATTGGATTAAATAACTGATAATTATACTGTCTCTGATCATCTCACATCTCTCAGTCTCCCCATTTCGTGATTTACTGTTAGCTTTGCTTGTTGAGAAAACACGTTTTCATTAGATGATTTAACCGTTAATTTCCTAAAAATTTAATGTGATTAACTTTAATTGAGTAAATACCAGTATAAACCGGGGCTTCAGGCAGAAATAGGCATTATGAAAAGCTTTTTAAACTTCAGTAGAATGCTTAACAATAAGACAATGGCGCTAAAGGCATTTTTACTGACTTAAAGTTTTTACATAAGCTAAAGCGTACATTCACCTACATATTCTTGTGTATTACTCTTCTATTTATCTATAATAAAGTTTAGAAGAAGTACTATTTTATCAAAGCTTATTGGGTTTAGCCAGTTCCCGATTTTCCTCTTTGCATTCCCTTGACATGAAGTACTTTTAAATGGTGATGAACAAAACATTGCAGCCTTATCTTTGAATAAAATCTGCTCGAAAACTGTCCCTGACCGGAGAAAACGACTGTGTTTCTGTCTAAGGACTCTTCAGCAATGCGGATCCTCTGCTTTATAGATGGTGAAGCCTGGAAGTGCAAGCTGCTAGGTTTGAGTACACTGCCAGTAAACTACTGTAGTGAAATACATTGTTCCACACTTTTCTAAACTATTTTCACTGGTAAATAATTGACTGAGTTAGCTGTAAATCACGTAAGAATCAGTCAGTCTACCAAATATATACCACAGAGACAGTAGTTCACCGACCTTAAGTGAGCTTTCTTCAGATGGAATTTTGGCTTTTTAATGAATTCTGCAGAATCACAGACTCAGGACAGACGATGGAAATCCACTGATAACCGAATTAGGTCACTTACTGATGAAAGTCAAATGAAAAAGTTCAAGCATCGAAGTACAAACCACTGAATTCCTACCGATACTATCGTCGAAATTTCTGAAAATCCTAAGTTTGATTAAGTACTTGATCAGGATTCACACTGTTAAGGATTCACAAAGCTTTACGAATTATCTGTAATTTTCCTATGTTTTTTAAGGATTTCCTTGAAGGTGTTAATAACCGTTGAAACCTACCTTTGAAGCACTAACTTTCACCAAAGTAATCCAATCAAATCGTGTATTTTTCCTACGTAGTATTTATCTTTGGTTTTGACTTCAGTTGACAAAAGTATTTAAAATTCAAAATCATCTGTCACTGTTTTGTAAGATAATTTCATTTATAGTAGATTGAAGCGTTCTTTATCACAATGGTTTGACACTAATTGTGCATCGAAAATACATACAAAAAGTCGTCGTGAACCAATGATTTAAGCATAAAAGAAGTAACTAATATGCTTGGCTTTAAAAAGGCTAAATGCTTTCTACCGGAAACATGTACACAAAAAAAATGCCATCAGCACTAAAATAGTTTTGATAGGTTGTGGGATTTTATTCTAACTATCAGATTTCAACTAATTGAGCTAGATTCTAATCTGTTGTCTTTCCACACGATATGTTCATATAATAGAACACATGTTATGAATTATTATTTGAATATTAACTGTTTTCGTTCATAAAGTTCGAATTTTCAATCGTATCAAGAAAAGCTGACGTAATAAGCCAATGGAATTTGGGTATTCTTTTCTTTATGCATCACACAGTGAGACAGGGAATACTCACATAAATAAGGTGAGGAAATAGACAGCTGATCTAATATGCTGAATAAAGCTGTTTCTAATTGAGTCCAAGTAGTTTAATTTAATGACGAACCAAAAATACCTGTAGGATGTATAGTACTTTTAGGGTTCAGAAACCAGGTTATTTTGTTCGACCCATCTTCGAATTTAGAAACGTCCCAACTCATGGGCTGCTTAAACACTTAACAACGATATTTGATCCCATTTGTTGACATTCGAGACCTATTAGTTTTCATGAAAAAAAACGGAATTGAGAATAGACAATTGGAAGAAGATGGAAAAACTGTCAGCTTTGATGCAACTAGCCTGTACACTAATATTACCACCTACTTTAGCTCTTGAGGTAGTAAGAAATCAACTGGACGTCGACCAACAGCTCATACTTAGGAATAGGACACCAGTTGAAGAAAATATTCCAGAGGTGTAGCTATGTTTAACTTCTACGGTCTTGAAGTCTCAGAATGAAATATACAGTTAGAAGAACACCAGCAATCCCCATTGTAGCAGATATATTTATGTACGGTTGAGTACGCATTGCTTTAGTGAAACTTAATCCTACTCACAAAGTACATTGGAGACATGTGGACGACAAATTCAGAGTTGTAATCGGGACTTCTCGATACATTTCTAGACCAAACTCAGTAGTTGATGCTATTCGGTTCAATCATGAATTAGAAAAAAGATTACGAGATCAAACGAAGTTAAGACGAAGGTTTCGATACTAGTGTCTACAAAAAGGATTCACAATTCAACCGATACCTGGATATTAGACAGTCTCATCCGATGCCAGCCAAGGC